AAGAAACCGTAACAGTTATTGATAGGATGTTTTTGCAAAATAATTGTTCACAACATGGCGCAACTTCAACCCGTTTAAGTCGAAGTGTTTCGGTCATCCTTTATAGGAATTTTCTCTCCTCATTTATTTGAAATCAGTATTACTCCTCAATCATACAAGTAAATGACCTGGGATTTTTTGATTTGAGATCACAAACTTATGACCTTGAAATGGAGGTCAAGGTCAAAGGTCAATTTGTAGCCTATTTCATACTAATCTATTGAAAAAGTACCTAGAAATCTTATATTGTTAGAATCAGTTTGTAATAACAAATCATAATAACCAGAAGTGACACCTTCTAACAACCGTTATTTAAATTTAATTCTTTATTATTGAAGTTGAGGTGGAAAGACCTTCATTGTTCTCTGAACAATTGGTTTTTAATTATTATTTTTTTTTCTTTCGCCTTATTTTTTCCTTCACTGTTTGGTTGTTTCGCAAGATGTCGCTTAGATATTTGGTATATGCTATCGAACAGTTTATACGCTTTTGAAACTGACCCTGCTAAACCTAATACTTTTCCATGTAAGAGTTATCTACCCGAACACTCTTTTTCTTGTTATTTCAAATACTTCGCAACCGTAGAAGAAACAGACAAATTTATTTTCCCAAATTGCTCGTTATATCCTCAGGATGTGTCGTTTAATTTTGACCGAAGCAGTATAGTGATTCCATATGAGAGGTTATTTCCCCTTCTGTATTTGATATTAGTGAAATGTTTTTGTAACTGGCAAACCATAAGTGCTAGAGACCTAGGATCTTTTCATATGAGGTCATTGATCCATAAAAAAGAAAATGAGGTCAAGGTCAAATGTTAAGGTCATGTTATAAATTTTGAACTTAGTTTGTTATCACTTATGGTATAAGATATTGACAAGATATTTTTACAGAATTCTTAGTTTCGACATGCCGTAACACATACATTTTGGTTAAAAGGGTACGTATATATTCAATGGGAGTTTTCTCCCCTCTTATATTTTAAATTAGCCGTATGGTGATATAACTTATTAACCATATATAGTAGAGACCTAGGGTCTTTTGATTTAAGGTCCTTTTTTATGACCTTTAAATTGGTGTCAAGGTCAAAGATTAATTTGACGTTCTAGGTTTTGACCTTTGCTCTTACTTATTGGTTCAAGATAAAGTCAAAGGGTCTTTTACATTGGGTTACAGATATATGACCTTGAAGAAGGTCAACTGGAAGTGACCTTTTGTAAACTAGAAGAAGCCATTTGGAATCAGTGTGAAGTAAGGTTTAAATGTATCCGGAAGTAGCACTTTGTAAACCGTAAGTACCTACTTATCTCCTTTATTTTGAGCAACAGTTTGTGGAAACCATATATTTTCGGAATCAGCATAAATAAAGCTATTATCTGACACAAGAATTGACATTTTAAACCAAAAATGAATATTTTACTGTCTAGATATGTCTATTTGGGGTGGAATGACCTTCAATTGTTCTCTGAACAATTAGTTTTTAATTATATTTGCATTAGTTATATGAGGATTTATGTTCAAGTCCATGGTGGTTAACAGGTAAACCTACTTTATAGTAAGACTTATAGGTAAAAATAATGTTTCCTAACGGCGTTCTTGTAAAAACATATTTGAGAATAACTCCGAATTTATTACAGTTACTGGTACTTTTCCAATAAGGATGCTCATTTTTTTCTCTCATAAAACGGAGGCAATCCGCATGAAAAACACTGTAATTCAAATAGGGACAACTGTCTATCAAGGGTATATATTACCGTAGCTGTATTTGTCAAAACTTTTCGGAATCTTGGGTCCGCAATGCTCTTCAACTTCGTAGTTTATTTGATCTTTATCCCCTAAATAGCCTTCAATTGAAATAATTAGAGTTGGAGTTATTTGTCTTGACCACCATGTCCTAGGGCATACTAGTTTGTTGTCTTATTTGACTCACCAGTTGAACTCGTGCAGTGACAGTAAGAGAACCTAACTGATAAATTATACAAGGCGTAAACACATTAAAGTTGATCAAACATAATGTTTTGAAATTAGAACGGCCAGGAGAACAAGATGGCTTTTAAGGTTGATAAATAGAATTGTGCACGTTGCCCTCATACATGGCGACACAAAGAAAATATAATATTTCAAATTATGACAAAGGAAAACTATATAAAGCAAGTATTAAAGCTAAAAACATGAAAAATTTGGCTGGCTTAACACAGGTATGTATAGTATTTTTGACTGAAATCGACGTTACAAAAGTTTTACCGTCATATCACGAATTGGTAGACCGATACCACACATCTGTGTCTCCACTCACCAGCGACATTTTCTCGCAATCTTTGATCTTTAGATACCAGAATAGTCGTCTAATCTGTAATTTTACCGATTGTGTCCTATTCAACATTGTGACGTTTTGACTGAGTGTAAATTCGCTTGTTGGGTGATGCATACATAGCAGGAAACGAGCACTCTGTCGACACACTAAGTCTCGCTCATTTTGGAGTACATACGATTCCCTCGGTTCTCTCTTGTTACCTTGATGTGATTTACGAGATTTTAATATCAATAAACCTCCCTCGCCTTAAGCAACGACGGGAAATGAAGGAAATCCCGTAATGGACAAACACATTAAAATATAAACAGTCACGAAAGAAGTTTTACGTTTAACATGATTCATTCCGCAACGTACTGTTATTATTCTTATCATAAATTTCCTTGAATGTACAGTTTCAAACTAATTGATATCTTAACAGATTTAAAAAATTAAGTTGACATAATATCTATAAGATAAATATAAAGCGACTGAATTATGAAACAACAAACATCACAATTTACTTTGATTCAACACATTGATAAGACATGAAAAAGAAAAAAATTACATTGAAACATTAATCAATAAAAATAGTTAGACGATATAAAGTTACGATATCATTTTTCGATAAAAAAAAAAGCTAATGACCACGAAACAAACAGTTAAAGAGTATATAAAAAGCTTTGCATAGAACACAAACGGATGATTGATCAACACGAATCCAACCAAAAATTTGGGAATGTGCCTGGTACAGAGATAATACTGTTCAACACCTAATGGTTTGTATTACGCAGAATTATCACATTAAACGGCCATTTAGAATATCGAGATTTTAAAGAACCGAACCGAGCGGATTTATCTACGCCTGTTCTTGTACATGTCGTACCTGAAGATGGCATCCCCAAAGATAAACTAGAACATATTCAAGTCTTTTGTTTTTAACTTAACTGCGAAATCAGCGGAAATAGACCCCGTGTGAAACGTCAAACTTTACAGTCCATGAAGTCGTCAATCATTCAAAATGTGTGATAAGCATATTGTTATTTCTATTTTCATTTCAAATTTTGAACAATCAAATTCTTCATCTTAATTTTTTGACTTTTTTTTTTATTGCCATATAGCAACATTTTATAATCTTATTTTTTTACAATATGAATATCGTCCTTTCATTTTTATGATTGACGATTGGTATATTATTCTCGTTTTCACTAATATATTCTAATTTTGATTAGTGCTCATACATATTATACTGCAAATAGTTATTTGAACTTGAAATAATGCCTATTATAGAGATGAAAATGTATATTTTGAACATAAATCTTTTTTGATATTGTTAATAAAAAACGACTGACAGTGCAAATATTTGATAAAAATGTATATTTTGAATATTAATCTTTTTTGATATTGTTTATAAAAACGACTGACAGTGGAAATATTTCACAAAGGCCACCATCTTTCTTTCTATAGTCAACTTCCTATTTATGAATAAGGATATTTGACTAACCTATTTTGTTCACAGAAGTGATTGACATAGCAAGAGTTCATTGCTTGTATTTCATTCACGAAGGTGAAAACTTGACTCGAACACCAATATCACTAAATTATCCACTGCACTTCTGATTTAAAGTTATACTATTATGTTTTCCTGATTATGCTGAAATTATAAGATATTGGATCATGACGCATGTTGTCTAGCAATAGTTTCATAGTAATACATATAACTACAGTTACCAACCATACATGACATAAGAGAACAGACTAAAAAGCCACTCACTGTAAAAGAACCTGAGATATTCATAATTTAGGGAGATGATGCGAAGTTGGAAATTGACATTCACACTTTATATTTGTTCCTGCTAATACAAGACAGAAATGTAGCAATGATAAGTTGAAGCAGAAAAAAAAACCAATAGCATCAACAACACTAACAAAAACGAAAACGTAGAAATGTGTTAACAATTATTCATAAAAGGAAAGAAGAAACGAAGGGTTTCATTAAAAGTCACGAGTTCAAAACAACAAACATTAAAACAAAAAAGAAAAACGAAAAAAGACAGATAAAAATAACAAATCAAAACTGACAATAGAAATTAAACAATACAAACTCATCAAACACCGGCGATGAATTCTGCAAAAGAGTCAGCACCTCAAGTTCAACTAAAAACACCTTACTGTACATCATTTTGTATGTTACATACTACATTATGGCAGGGGATATATGACTATAGGATAACAGTCGAAATTCAGAAAGAAAGAGACCGTACCTCAAAACAAAATGCAAGTACAGTGAAACCTGTATAAAGAGACCAATTAAGATAAAGCAAAAAAGAGGTCTCATAAAACAGGTGGTCTTTTTTAATACAGGTTCAACTATTTGAAATGCTCTACAGAGGGACCTAGAATCAATGGTCCTATGAAACAGGTTTTTGCTTAATACAGGTGGTCTCTAAAACAGGTTTGTCTTTATTTATATCTATAATTCAGAACATATATCATGACATTTTGGTTTTATTCACAGATAAAAAAATGTAAAAAAATGTCATATTTTGAAGTTTAGGTATACACGAAAAGTTATATAGTGAAACTAATCATAAATTTAGATATTCAAATACGATAACGAATTCGGCCATGTCACTTGACTAAAAAGACATCTCCAGCTATATAAAATAAGGAGATGAGGTATGATTGTCGATGATTTAACTATCTAACAGAGACCAAATGACGTAGATATCAAAAACTGCACAGCAAGCTATAATTGACTCCAACATAACAAAATGTAAAAATATTCAAATGGTAAAACCAACGGACTGATTTATAAGCCATACACATGTTTAATACGTAACGAGATTTTAAAATAATAAAAATTAGCAATGGCTAGGGACATGACACAATTCGATATTAATTTCACTAAAGATTTGTATTTGTTCATTTATGTTTATTTGCATTTAGTTTCTTAGATAATAATAGACACATATGTAGGTATACTTGTTAGGGTGTCAAGGGCACATCCCACTTTATCAAACTACCTCTCAACTTTTAAAATCACCGAGAACAACAATACAAATAAAGTTCATAAATAAATCAAAAACAAAACATACAATTAATCAAATTAATTTAAAAGACAAAACAAACAAACAATAAAATTAAAAACACAAACACAAACACACAATCCTAAGACATAAAATACTGTATTTGAAGAAAAACGTCTCGAATTTACTGCAGTTGCTTATTTGCGAGTCTTACTTTCGCGTTATCGATATAAAAATAAGATATGAAAGATCTACCATTGACATAAACTGCATAAGTGGACAAACATGCATATTTTCACATACAGTCATTCAATAACACAAGTACCGTTAAGCTTCATCAACATTGATCTTTGAAAATTCTACTTTTAAAACAAATCATTATCTTGTGTCGAGTTATTTTCTTTAAATCCAACTAGTAACCATCAGATAATTGAAAACGGAAAACAATGCACGTTAAAGCAACGATGGTATGTTTGACTTAAAATTAGACGTAAAAAGTCCAGTTTCTTCATAAATCTCATTAAATACAAAGCAAGTATTGATAAGATCTAAAACATCATTAGATAGTTACATGTATGTGGAAAGATTATTTAGTCAAATGAATATATAAAGGAATTATTTTCTATCATTAGGATTCACATTGTTCAATAGAAAATTCTTAATGCAGACCCATTGATTGTGTCATCTCTTTCATCCAGACATATTTAAATGAGCACTTACACTGACGAGGTTTCTGAAAACGAAACTCACGTCTGGCATACAAAATTATGATCCTGTTCTCTTTGATGAGTTTTACTAAAACTTATATCTGAGATTAAAAAACCATAAATTACAACAACATTTTGAAAAAGAGGAATGACTAAGCAATGTGATCACTTCGAAATGCAATATGTTTTTCTGTTGTCATCTGCCCAATAATGATCTATACAATCTTCAGCAGTATATTCTATTGAAATATACTGTGCAAAAAAAGAAATTTCGATTTCTTTTTACTCAAATTTGTTTCTGTATTATACAGATAGATTTCATACAGCAATACTTTGGTATGTTCAGCTTACATTTGAACACAAAATACTATGGATTTTCTACCACAGCAACATATTACCGAGGCTGTATTTGGCAAAAACCTTTGGGAATATTTGTCTCATCAATGCTCTTCAACTTCGATATTTATTCGGCCTTGTTTTGATTCAAGCGTCACTGATTAGTCATTTGTAGACGAAACGCGCGACTGACGTACAAGTATTAGATACAGAACAAAAGGTAACAAAAAAAAAAAAAAAAGAAAAAAAAAAACAGAACAAAACACGCTGGTAACAACCATTGCCGTATAGTTTTTCTGCACGAGTAGTCAGGGCAAGTCCGAGACGATAGCCGAGGACCTTGACCTAACTACAAGTGCAAAAAAAACTATACGGCTGTCCATATCATGACGCAACAATCGTCAAATCTGTAAATGCCATAAATAGATGGGATCGGTCCTGATTTGTACAGCAGGTTAACTTGGTTAATAAACATTCTTGATTGGTCAAAGTTATCTTGCGACAGGTTTTATAACTGCTCAAACAATTCCTTGGACCAAATTAATGTTATCATAGAAATCAGACTTCATTCTAAGACTGTTTACGTGACTGTCAAAACAGTAAACTTTGAACAGGACCGCTTCCTACGTTAACTTCGACTAAACCAAAACTGATATAAAGACAAATTTTGGCCTTTTTTGCTCCACATTAGATTAACTTGTGAACAGGACCACAATGCGATGTATAAAATATTTTTAAATATCATTGTTAATCTAATAAAACAATAGTAACATGTTTGGTTCTGATAGCATTAATTTGCAATTGCCATATTTCTTCATTCTATTGAAATATATATGATAATGTTACAAATCAGTTTATCTGGCAACCAAAAATATATATAAAATAGACATGATACATGATAACAAAATTGGCATAGAGATACAAACCATCATTAAACATCAGTAGTCTTGACTTTTAAAGATACTTTTACTACATAACAATCGTTAGGTTGTGGTCTCATTGATGTATACATCCAGTTCTCTTTATTCACAATGAGGAAAATGACAGTATGTATTCTTATCTTACCTCCTATACTTTTCTAGGAATATGATTGGTTAAAAGCAACCGCGTGGAGACCGTGTATATGTCATATGGGGTTAGTAGGCGGGGCTTATTTCAATACACTTTTAGTAGTGGTGTTACGTTCCTTTATAAAAACAACACGATGTTGAGGAAAAATCTGAAAGGTTTCAACAGACAAAGAAATTGATGATGAACGATTGGAATAAATTTATAAAACACATTTAGCTAACAAGTTGTTATTGTTGGCATTTGTTTTTGTATAGACCAATGGAACTAGGTTCTTAATACTTAGTTTTGAATACTTGATCACTTTGATAGGCCACTGGTCTAAATACCACATGCTAAGATAGTCGGTAAGATAAATTTGTTACACAGTGTGCTAATGACCTAATGCGATATATATGGGGTCAGTAAATTCCATATGGGGAATCGAGCTTTGCTCCCATATGAAATTTACTGATCCCATATATATCGTAGTATGTCACTAGCACACTATGTAACTAATAATATGCGTGTGTTCTTTGTACATAAATCAGACCGTTGATTTTTTGATTGAATTGTTTTACGGCTTTTCATATCAGAGCATTTTAAAGCTTGCTATAAGTATATATATTTTGCTCATTGTTGAAAGATGTACAGTGACCAATATATTATTGCTAACTTCTATTTCGTATGGGTTCTAGTGAATAGTTTTCTCTGTAGCAATAATGACACATCTCCTTATTTTAAGGTGTAGGACCTGTGGGAGGGTAAATTCGAAATATATGAATGTCACCATTGTAATTCATTTCCATGAAGACATCAATAAAATATTGAGTGAAAATGCCTGAAATTGTAATGATGCTAAAGACATCTGAATTTCATTGGATGTAATGGTATCTGTCAATCGTCATGATGTATTTCTTGTAATATAATCTTAAGGTGGATTATCGGTATAGATTTACTCATATAGAATTTTCTTATACTTTGCCAAAATGTAGATTTTACCATGCTTTTTTTTTTTAAAGATAATAAAAAGTAAGGGTCACCGTGCATTTTTCAAGCTCAAAATTGCCCAAATTTTAATAGATTGTTCATGAAAAAATCTTTTTTGTGAATGAAAAGAAATCTATGAGATATAATTTTGAAATAAAATATGAGAAGTTAGGTTTTATGATATGTTTAAAGAAAATAAAAAGAAAAAAAAGGTTTAACGTAAGATTTTATCTACGAGTGTTTCTCAAAGGTGATCGTAAACGTAACGTAAATTTACGATTACAATGAAAAAAGGGTGCTTTCTTTGACAGCCACGTTAATGTCTAAAAAAAGAATCTTTCTTTTAAAATCCGGAAGAAAATTTATATCAAAGATTATTTTCAGCTCAGCTTTCAAAATCGTATTTTAAATGTTCATCAGTTTATTTTTGTTTTTGTTTTGTTTTTTTATGGTGAGTAGGTAAGTGTTCCGTCTAGTTTTCAAGATATTTGATTGTTTTGGTTTTATAAGAAAAAATGGCTCAAGTTGGTTTTTTGGCAAGCTGGGACATTTTTTATTTTGTTGAAGAATGACGAAATCATAAAAATCAGACAAATGCATAAGGACTTCGGCGTTTATTGAATCCAAATAAAAATTAATTTCATAATTGTGTACATGAAATTATACGTATCTTCAAAGGTTAATTATAAACTGGTTTAAAATTCATTAAGCGTCATATTCTTTTCTTGCGGGTCTAGGTTTTTTTAAAAAGAGAGACCCACTGACAAGACAACGTTAGGCGTTGCAAATGTGTGAAAATGTCTATGCATAAACATATGTGTAGCTCTATAATGAGGCGTCCATCCCCCAGCCGACACCATACCCAAATCCGCCTCTTGAGTTTTAATTTAATCGAACTTTTACTTAAAAGGGACACTACTTGTGGACTTACTATAGAACAAATGCTATTTCGCTATAAACTCCTAAAACTACATTCCAAGCTCCCGTTAAAAAGCCAAATATAGATATAAGAAGATGTGGTATGAGTGCCAATGAGACAACTCTCCATCCAAGTCAAAATGTATAAAAGTAAACCATTATGTTCATTTCATATTTTAAAATAGGACTTATGCATTTGCTACTGTAACGTTTCATCCAAAAATATAATGGTCAGCAGGAGATTTAAAAGAAATGTTATAAACCATAAATGTCTACGTATTTATTTTTTGTTGTTGGTATCTGGGGGTTGTCGTTTCCCCAAATTTCTAATCCATATGAATGACGAAAATCAATTTGAAATTATTGATTAGTATATCTATGAAGGGCGTATCTAAAATCCCGCTGGTGCTCTCCCTGAGACCCCCTTTGCCTCAATTTCTTTAGGAATGCACTAAGGCTGCGAATTAAATGTAACTTTAGATTGAGATATCAAGAATATAAGAGGGTATGGGCGGGGAATCCTTCAAATATGTATTCTTTGATTTGTTCTTGTTTTTTACCTATTTTCTGAAATATATTAGCCATTTATTTTCTATTCTGTAATTCCAATTGAGACCCTCATATAACTATTCTTTTGTTCATTATAGAACAGTCAAGCAATTTGTGGCTAAAACATTAATGTTAAATAAATCGATGCATTAACAAGAATCGGTGCAAGAATATGTGTTCATAGGACACCAATCCCCGCTCGCACTATTATATATCCATCACGGTTAATTTTTCATATTTGTTAATCAGCTGTCTGCATAATGAACATGCGAACCATTTTTATTTTGATGTGATCTTAAAGTAACTTAAATCAAAAATTTAACCTCATACACACTATAACTGAAAAGTGGCGATAAGGGCCTTTTTTTGGGCCGGTCGCGTCTTTCAATTAATTTTTCATGTTTTGACATTCGAAAAATCGTAACATTTTTGTATTTATTTTATAAACAGGTATTCTGTTTAGTGATACTGAGGCAGTTAACGCGTTATCGAAAAAGAAATACAATTTCTGTCATTTAAAAATCATTAATATCAACATACTTTAAAGTCTAATTTGTTTACTTTGTATGTGTTAATTATTCATTGTGTTTATTTAGAATGATCAATCTAATGGTCGTTGGTTTTAGAGAAAACTGTTCAAACCAGTTGCTGTAAAATATGTTTAAAAGGAGATGTTTGGTAAAAACAATCAATAACTTTAGAGATAGTAAAAAAACAAGTCTTCATTTCAAAGTTGTCGTTCTATTAATTTTATTTGACGTCAGCTAGTTTTCTCTCTATTTTATGCACAAATTTCGTTAATGGACACATGAAATAATTATTTTTTTATAGATGGTCAGGTTTACATGTAATATGAAAATTCGGAAAGGGTTTCGTAGAACCCTCCATCTCGCCTGGGGTTGCTGATGTTAGTGTAAAAGTGTAATGTTGACTGTAATACGTGAATCCATGTATCAGTCAAATACGATTTGAAAAAAATAAAAATGTTCTTTAGATGCTTTTTCTTGATCTTAAAGATTAGCTTCTGCCCAAGTTTCATAACAATTTATGAAGTTTTACAAATTTATCATGTAAAAAAAATGTAATCCAAGACCGTCTGTTAATAGCAAAAATGTAAATACGTCTGTCAGTAAAATACTGAAAAATGAAAAAAAAATAATTACTTTAATTCTGCTTCAAACATTATCTCTTAATCATAAAGAAAAAGCTTCTGACAAAGTTTCATAGAATTCGATGAAGGTTTTCCAAAGTAATTGGCAGAGGTGGAACAGAAGACAAACGATTTATGAAATTCGGAAAGAGCATTGATAACGATGACGAAAAAAGATTCATGAGATTTGGAAAGAGTGCTGAAGCCGATAAAAGATTCATGCGATTCGGGAAAAGCTTAGAGGCCGATAAAAGATTTATGCGATTTGGTAAAAGTGGAGACGATGAAAAAAGGTTGACAAGATTTGGTAAAAGTGTCAACGGTGAAGACAAAGAAAAAAGATGTATGCGATTTGGAAAATCAACGGAAGACAAAAGATTTATGAGATTCGGGCAAGACCAAGCAGAAAAACGATTTATGAGATTCGGCAAGTCGTCGATGGAAGATAAAAGATTTATGCGATTTGGGCGAAAGTAAGTAAGAACATTGTTAATCTTTAAGTTAACTATGTTAAGTTATTCTAATGCTTCAAAATTTTGTAAAAACATTGTATATAATAAATTATTACCTATTACTGTTCATTATATACATATAATATGGAGTAAGGCATATTATTTTTTATATGTAAATGTTTCTTTTTTTGAGATAATGAAATTAAAATAAAATAAATATTTAGTTGCCATACACTAACTACTGCATTGAATACTATTTCATAGTCATTTCGAAATAGAAAGCTTTGATTTTATCTTTGAAAAGTTAAATGAAAATAACGCTTTATAAATTTGTTTCGTCCGAAGCGTTTTTCATGATTAACCTATATCAGAAATGCTCGAACCCTAAAGTTTGAAAGCCTAGGATGTGTAACAATCTAAGCACGTGAATAACTGTATGATCACTAAAAGGGTCATATTTAAATAACCAAATCCACTTAAAAATAAAAGCTGTTTAAAACTTCACTATAGTAAAAATCATTAAAACTTAATGAAAATAAAACACCAATATAGAGCAAAAATGTGTAATATGATTTCAAAATAGGGTCCAACATGAAAAATGAAACATCATTGCTACAAAAGAGGATTTCATTGTAAATTTTTCTAAAAAGTATAACAAAAATACTGAACTCCAAAGCAAATTAAAAAAGGGAAAGTCCATAAAAACTGACAAAATCAATTGCTATCAACCAACTAAGAAAGGTTTAGGATTGGCCAATTAGAAACAGATTGATCAATGTCCTCTTGCATTCGATTTTTGTTTGTTTGTTCATGCAGAACAAAATAAACAAGTTTTTTTAACAGACAGCCAGTACATTATTCCTGATAAGTTTTGCATATAATAGCATATTATCAAAGCTGTTATAAGGGCACCCAACCAAGAACATTACTCCCTTAAACAAGGCAAAAACAAAAGGAAGACAAAGAACAAAAAACTCTATAAATATAACAAAAGAAAAAAAAAGAAAAAGAAAAGAAGAAAACGATTGAAAACAAAAAATTCAACATATAGTCTTCGTGATAGATGACTGACGAAGCAGATATGTATATTGCAGAAGAGCTCTACGAATGAAAAAAAAAATCTGTGTTTTTGACTTTCAATCAGTAAGGATTCCTGCTTGATAAATGCAAATTGGCAGAACATCATTTTGTGGATGTACAATGTTTACCATCAACGACGAAGGTTTAGCCCTTTTACACGTTTACACTTATTTCAAAAAATTAACTCTTTAAATCTTGTAACTATTACATCAATATTATGAAAAATGACGCGATTGTGCACCATCCGATACAAAACAAATAGCTTGGAGATCCAATCTCTTCCGGTTTAGTCAAGCAGCATACCAGAGATGACCATCTTTACATATATGTAAAAAAAAATGAAATATTGAATAATTCAAACTAAGCTGTCCACCATGAAAACATTTATTTATCAAATTTCATTATGCGTAGGTCATTTCGTTCTCTCTCTCTCTCTCAAGTGATCTTTTCCTGGGATCAAATTCGGCCAAAATATTTATTATTCAGAGGCTTGGGTGTTGAAAGGAGAAATTTGTTTCTGTTTAATTTATGGACAACTTTTATAAACTCGTGGAGAGTTGACATACTGTACATATACATGTACTGCATGTAGCCCACTAGATATTTTTCGCAATTTTTTGTCGTTGGGTTGCTGTCTAATTCTTCAATACACCACATTCAGTTAAATATCTGTCTAATCATTTTGAATTGGAACTTACTGGTATCAGTCAATATTCATAAACCAATTTTTTAGTAGAAATATTTCACAATAATTGTAAATGAGTAATAACATTCTGTTATGCAGATAACAGAAATTTGTGAATTTGTCGTTTAGCAAGCCATATAAGCCACAGGGCCTACATTTTGGAAGTGTATTATGAACGTCCGACAATCTTTTAAAAACAGTGTGTTGCTCTCCCATGAAGTTGGATTGAATGATTGATTGTTTGGTGTTTAACGCCACTTTCAGCACTATTGTGCTATTTTGTGGCGGTCAGTTTTTATTGGTGGAGGAAGCCGGAGTGCCCGGAGAGAACCACCGACATTCGATAAGAAAACTGACATTACTAGTCAATTGAGATTGGAGTCCAGCGCAACTGCTACGTGCGATATTCGAACTCACAACCTCAGTGTTGACAGGCTTGTGATACAGTAGTGCGACTACTTAGACCACACACATGAAGTTGGAGAAAGACAACATGTCACGAATAAGGTGAGAAATGGAAATTGAAAAAAAAACTGATCCGAATTCGAGAAATCTCACCGAATACAAAACATTTTCTTGTTTTGCATTTTATCGGTGTTGCACTCTTACACATTTGTTGAAACACGACTTCTATAAACGTTGTGGGAACCAGGTTTCGGTTCCCTGTTCTATACCGAGCTATCAAGGTGAATGAATAACAGGTTTATTGTTGCACATTGTGAATCATAAATAAGGAGATTAAGAATGATTAGCAAGATATACCTATCCACCCTAGATCAAAGGACAAATAACCACAGGTAACATTATGATAGAAAAACAATGAAAGAAAACCAAAGTACCGTATAGCAAGCTATTAAAAGCCCGGATAACAAACACAAAAAAGGAAGAAGAAAGAAACAATAGAATAGAGAAAAAAATAATGACCTGTCAGAGCACGTAAAGCTTAAACATTAAACGAAAACAATTATGAAAGGAAATAACACTTGATCAATTTGGTGCGTCTGCAGAGCTTCTCACTTGATCAATTTGGTGCGTCTGCAGAGCTTCTCACTTGATCAATTTGGTGCGCCCGCAGAGCTTCTCACTTGATCAATTTGGTGCGTCCGCAGAGCTTCTCACTTGATCAATTTGGTGCGTCCGCAGAGCTTCTCACTTGATCAATTTGGTGCGTCCGCAGAGCTTCTCACTTGATCAATTTGGTGCGTCCGAACAGCTTCTCACTTGATCCATTTGGTGCGTCCGAACAGCTTCTCACTTGATCAATTTGGTGCGTCCGGAGAGCTTCTCACTTGATCAATTTGGTGCGTCCGCAGAGCTTCTCTGGATTAACCTTCATTAGGAACGTTCAAACCCAAACATTTAAAAGTAAATGAGAACATATAGGCCTCAACACGGGAAGAACTAATGACCACAAGGGACCTAAAAATAGCAAAATTAATTTAAGGTCAAAATTACTTGAGGAAGTTGGAACCTTAGTGTCTTGATAATTTTACGGAGAATTTATGAAAAGTTTGTCAAAATATATGACATTGGGGAACCAACGCCAACCACAGGAATACTGGATCCGGTATTGGAAGAGGCACATATAGAATTTGATGGGGGAAACATGTTTTTAGGTCTCACCTCCCCTTCATAATCTGTTACTGTGGTGTAGTTCTTTCTCATCGTTGACACTGTTGTGCAGTTTTCTACATACCTTTGTTGGAAGTTTTGTTTTCCAAAAAACATCTTCGTTCATTACTCCTAGTTTCTGTTTCTGCAAACCCTAAACCAGACCTTTATATATACTAAGTGCTTTAAACATATATTCTCTACCGGACAAAAATAATAAGAAATTGAAGACATTAACTGACGATGTTCCTCAAAGGGACAGAGACGTACACGTAGAAAGGTATAACATTAGTTTTCAACATCAAACCCTCTTTATTTTACTCTCTATCGAATGTTTTTTTTCGGTTTAAGTCTATGTACTAGTTGTTTTTGTGCTTCGTTACGATGTAGTGAAATTAGTCCATTATAATTGATTTTAACATATTGTTTTAATGTTGTGCTGTTACACCACTGTCACGGGTTAAGGGAGAGTTAGACACCACATGTTTAACACCGCTACAATCATTATACACCTGTCCTATGTCAGGATCCTGATATTCACTGGTTGTCGTTTGTTGCTATATATCATATTTGTTTTTCGTTTGTTGTTTTGTACATTAATCCTGTCGTTGGTTTTCTTGTTTAAATTGTTTTACATTATATCATGTCGGGACATTTTATAGCTTGCTATTCTGTATGAGTTTTGCTCATTGTTGAAGGCCAAAGAGTGCAATATACTGCGAACCAACTAATTTTCGCGAACGATTTATTTTCGCGACTTTTGCGAGATGAAAAATAACGTTAATATAAATCGTTGCGAGTATGTAAAACTTGTATCTTTCCATATCTAACTATATCAAATAAATGTGAAAATCGCAAAATTGAAAGCCGTTAAGTGAGCTTTTAAAATTTTATCGTATGCAACTTGTGAGTTTGTAGATACATCTGATAACTGGCTGCTAGCGGAAAAGCTGCTAGCGAGTGGCTGTTAGCTCGAGTCTAGTCAAATTATTTGTTTTGATAGCATAATAATCCTAACGAAATTAAGGTGGTACCCAACACCTTGACTAATATTAATTTGGCTCGTTTAATTTTCCTAAAATTTTGACAAAATGTTTACTTTGACCCTTTGACAAAAATATAAAAATTTCAAATAATTTGAACCAATCACTTTATCAGAAAATTTTCACTGGTTATATAGCAGTTTGACAAACACTAATTTTGATCATTGAGAAGCTTAATATTTCCTTGACAATACAACGTGATTAAAACGTTTAGTTGATTTTTACAGAGTTATCTCCCTGTAGTGTTAGGTACCACCTTAAATGTCAAATGTTTTACGTTACCATCTTATAGCAGATGTTTTCATGGGTATTTGCGGAAAATACAATTTTGTTCGTAGGAATGTTTACAATCTCTAGCATTGCATTTTTTGTAAATACTCTTTCTTAACATGAGATATCTGTTCATTAAACATATATTTGATCTGCTTGTACATTTATATATGACCAGGAATATCATATAATGTCAGAACTTCAAATTACACAGTCACAGCGATATGAAATTGGTATTGAAGAAAAACTCAAGAAATTTTGAAAAAATACCCTGTTTGTGAATTAGTAAAGAAAATGAGACTTTTTTTTTCTCTGTCGACTAAGTAGGTTTACCTG